ACGGCACTCGACACCCCTCACGGCACCAACACCCCCTCAGGCACCAACACCCCTTCAGGCACGAACACCCCCTCCGGCACCACCGCTCCCCCCGCCAAGACCACGGCCCCCACCCCCCAGGCCACCAAGAACGGCCCCATCGGGAGCCCCCCCGACTTCGGCTCCCCCGCCGGCGAGCCCACCAACTCGACCCTCGCGCCGGTCCCCACCAAAACCCCGACCGGCACCCACACCCCGACCGCGACCCCCAAGGCGACTACGGTACCGAGCGCGACCACCAAGCCTGGTTCCAACACCCCGGGGTCTGTCACACCCGCTCCTGGTGCCACTACCCCCCCGGTAGCGACCCCCGGTTCGACCACCCCCGGCGCAACCCCGGTCACAACCCCGACCGTTACGATGGCCACCAGGCCCCCGGTTCAGACCCCCGGGCCGACTACTCCCGGCGCCACCGCCGCCCCTGGTGCCACCCCCGTCCCGACCACTCCCGGCAGTACACCGGTCTCGACTCCCACCGTCACAATGGCGACGCAGCCCCCGGTTGGGACCCCCGGACCGGGCACTCCGACCGGAACGAACACCCCCACCGGAACGAACACCCCCACTACCCCCGGTGCTTCTCAGCCGGCGCCCACCCCCAAGGCGACGCTCCACGGAACGCCCAGCGGAACCGGGTCGACCCCGGGGACCCACGTGCCACCGAGCGACGGACGCCCCGAGCCCTGCACAACCGGGAACGGCACGAGCTCCTCAGCCAAGGGCGATCGTGAGTTGACCCAGACATTTTTACTTGTTTGATTTTAAGACAAATTGGTGGGGCCAATGAGACCTTAGAGACCTTTGCTGTCCGCATATGAACGAGCGTGCAGAGTTAAGGTTAAGGTCTGCAGTAAAACTTCTGCGCTTCTTCTTCGAAATTCTTTTTCAAAGTACTTCGGATGCCAAAAAGACGCTTCCGTAATACACGATAAAGCAAGCTATCACCGAAGTTCAACCAAGAACTTTTCAGATTCAGCAGTCTCGCCAGTTGTGGGACAAAGCCGAACCTTTTGACTGAGAGCTTCTCTTCGAACCGTGCAGCTCACTTCGTCGGCAAGCACGGCGAGAAATTCGACTTCAACGGCGAGCCCGGCCAGTCGTACTGCCTGATCGCCGACAAGAAGATCCACATCAACATGCACGTCTTCGGCGGCAGGAGAGAGGGCACCACGGTTAGTGCTTACCCGCTTTCCTTACCGGCCACTCGTATTGGCCAATGTTCGCTTCTTAGCATTCCTTCGTCTCTTCGTCTCAGACTACTCCTAGAAATTGCAAGAAAATTGCCACTGCTTTCCACTGGATGGCACGTCTCTGGAACTTAAAATACATCTCTGGAACAGACACAGATCCGTTCTCAAAATCTGTCAAAAGTCCTGACAGTACTCACCTGAACCCCGGCTAACCCTTCCTTAATCCTCCCCGCAGTACATCGACGAAGTCGGCATCCTGTACAAGGACATTGAGATCTACGTCGCCGCCAAGTCCGCTGAGGGCACCAAGTGGCGCGACTTCCAGGGGGCCGTTTCCGTCAACGGAATCGAGCTCCCCGCTTCCGACGTTGACATGACCGTCGAGAATGTCGCCATCTCCCGCAACAGGACGTCGGTGCGCGTGACCGCCCCCGGCTGGTTCGACATCACGATGGACATCGCGCGCGCGAGCTTCTGGCAGAACGGCCCCGGAGCTAACTTCGTAAGTTGACGCTCCTGTTCTCTTCAACTGTCTTGGACTTCGTACTCAGCAACGGTCCTGTGTCCGCAACGGTCCTGTGTCCCTTTCCTCATTTTACGAAACAATCTGGCATTGAGGGGAGTGCTAGAAGGCAGAAAACGTCATATTGGCTCAAGAAATTGATTGGAAAAGGTCAATAAGTTCTGAACCAGGTTCTCCGTTTTACCTGACTAGGAAGGCTTTGTCAAACGCGTCTGTTCTTATCCTTCAGACGAGCACAAATGTTCTGTCTCTCAATTTCACCTCTTTTCACGACCCCAGCTTCGAGATACCAAGAATTTCCTGTTCCCGTTTACCTGAACCCTCGAATTATCACTCACCCACACTTCTCCCCCCGCCGCAGATCAACTTCAAGGTCTCCCAGCTGCGCGTGACCCCCACCGTGCACGGCGTGCTCGGACAGACCTACCGCGAGAGCGACCGCACGTACAAGAAGATGGCGCGCGCCGAGGTGTCTGCCGTGCGCGGCAACGGCCTCCCCGCTTTCATGGACGGCTCCGAGGAGGACTACGAGACGAGCGGGATCATGAGCGCGGACTGCAAGTTCGGCAAGTTCCAGATGGTCAGCCAGGTGGAGAAGAAGACCAACAGTTCGGGGGGGAGGAGACTGCTGGCGGCGGAGGGAGAGGATAAGATGGTCGTCGATGCCGGCTGCGTTGGGTTCGGGAATGAGGTCCGGTGCGAGTAAGGGTTTAGCCGGTGGTTATCACTGACTGCATCTTCGAAAGATGGAAAAGAGAGAGACAAGCAGATTGAGAAGTTGAGAGCTTTAGTGTAACATGAAACCCAACCTAGAAATAGGTGAGAGGCCTACGGACTAGGGAGACAGAGCGATCTCCCAAGTAACTGTTACTGGAATGATTACAGCACGGTCTGGTGATAGGCAGCATACAGGAAACACCGTTGCATAGGACACGTATTTATCAAAGGAGCATAAGGCTCAAAATGCGGAGGCGTCAGTGAACAGATCGTTCACAGGGGCGGCAGCGTTTGCAACTAGCAAGCAGCTGAGAACTCCGCAGGCTTAGTAGAATTTTTAACACTACTGCCCACGTAGGAACTAACCAGCAGACAGACAGCCTGACATTCGCTTTTCATAATACAATATGAACACTTGGAACTTCTGGCTTCAGAGGTAACTAAACATTTGTGAACCAGACGAGCAGCTGACCAAGGAAATCAACGCTCAATTCAGAGTTTATTCGTGTGCAAGCCCCCGTGCAAGCTTCATTGTCTCTGCAAAAGACGATGTCTCAATTCAATACATCCTCGAAATCAGTCATAGGAGGGAGTTGCTTGGCCACATTGTGGGATCGGCTAGCATGTGCATTGCTTACCTCGATGATCATTGGACATGAGTACATGGTTACAATTTTCTCCACAAATTGTCTCTTCACTCGAGCAAGCAGATGATCATGTGCAGAGTCCACTGAATGGTGCTCCTCTTCTACAATGCTATGAAGGTGCACATGCAGAATCCAGATGGTGCCACTGCCGTTCGTGCATAGCCCTCTGAGCCACACAATTGCAGATGAAGGTTCGCTTGATAGCAGTAACTTCGAGCAGAACATGGTGCCCGACCAGCCCAGAGAGCTGGAGCAGCTTGTAGCATTCCCCTTGGATGCATTGCAGCTGGAAGAAGGTTGCTGCAAGCTTGCACGTTCTGCTGATCAGCGAAGTTTCGAGCACTTGCATAAAAGCTGCCCTAGCAGACGCTAGAGCCTGAACCAGCGCACCGCGCCATGGCTTCTTGGCTTGATGATTGATAGATCTGCAATGCAGGAGGGTTTCACATGCATTTTCCTCGGCAATTGGCTTCAATCAAATTGTTTGACGGCAAAACGATTCTTGACAAACGGCAGAATCGGTCAAAGCGGGCCTCTAAATCATATACGGGTTTGAGTCTTCGAGACAAGGAACCGGCAGTCAACCGTCACCCTGGACTTTGAAGCCAACGCAGAATTTTATATACTTTGATATTCAGCCGGGAGGGCAGCTCGATGAGGAGGGCAGCAGCTCAGAGCTCCACATCAAAGCGCAGTTCTAAACATGAGACAGAAAGACTCAGAGCGCTCAACTTTTCACATACAGATCCACCAACTCTTACTTGTAGAGGATGTCATGAATTTTTGCAGGTTCATCAAGCTTGCCAGTTTGATATCTGTTGGTAGCGGACAAGGGCCTTGAGCTGGCTTGCCCACCCATCCTAACCCAACACCAAATAGATCGGGTCGCTTCTCACGCTTCGTCTGGCCCTCAATTGAAGTCACCGCCAGCTTGTTGTGTACAGAACTTCATTCTCCATCTCAGGAGCTATTCTGGAGATTGGTCCTAGCCCGTGCTCTATCACCGAGCAACAAGTCCTGTTCTAAGTCTCTTTGAGGGCACCTGGGAAAACGGCTCGCATCTGTATCCCCCTTAGCTAGCTGTAAAACCGCTTTTTCGAGCTGTCGTGCTTTCGTCAAGTGCTTGTCCAATGGCTGCCCCCCGCCGCAGCAGCAGCACAGCAGCGGACGCCGCCCGAGCTGATCCGGGAAGGAAGGTGACTTGCATTGACAAGGCATTGACATTCTGGTGATGCTTCATTCTGCCTTTGCTGCCTGCTCAGATAGCATCATGGAGTCAGGCTGGAAAGTGAGTGTGGGTTGATCTTTTTCATAACTTTCAAAGAGGGCGTAATTGAGCTGAGGGTCACTTGTACGATCGTTGTAGATGCTCCCTGATCAGTCAGCATGGAGCAGGACAGAATAGTACCTCCCTCTCGGACACTTTCACAGTCCCGTTGACGGAGGCCTTCCCCAATTATCAGCCATCGGCAGTGCTAACAGCCAATAAGGAAGTGAGAGAGAGACACTGATTCATATAATCGGAACAGGTCGTCCAGGACCACAGCTCACAGTTGCCACGTATATCTGTGCAGTTCCTTTACGCCCCCCCTGCAGCCGACCCCGCCATGCGCCCCCCCCGCTCCACCTCCTTCACTGAAATATAGACGAGCGACCCGACAGTAGGGCCCTGCGAGGAGCCTCAAGCGCAGCGGCCAGTCTAGTCGGCAGTACTCTGGACGAACGGGCGGGGCCTTCCAGGTTGGGGGATCAGAGATGGGCGGCGTCTCTGCAGAACCTAGAGGATATGGGAACGACGCTCGAGAGTTACCAGAAAGCGCTGCTGAGTAATGTGGTATATCTAGATGAGGAGGCGTATGGGAAGGGGGTTAAAGTGGCGGGGCGTGGGCGGGCAGTTCAGGTGGGGGGCTGAGCACCATTGAGTCGGACTTTCCTGTCTTGCTCTTCCTTCAAGCCCCAACTACCTTGTTGGTTCTTGAAGTTCCTGTCAGATTCCTCGTCCAACTTTGTTGCTTCTTTTGTTAGTTCTCTTGTTCCAGGGCTGCTCTTCTGCTTTGAAATCTCTTTCAGAAGGTTCCCGCTTTACCGAGCTCCTTTACTCCTTCAATAAACCGTCGTTCCAGCCACCTTCGATAAGTGGGGATTGGTCTATTGTCTACTGTAGTTTACCTTTTTGACTGAGAAAAAGGGACACTGCAACGGCCTTGATTGATATCTGACAAAGCTCACTTTTGACAGCATTCTGACCCTTTTTGCCCAGCTGTCCACGTGTCTGCCCAGGCCTATCACCGAGATTTGATTTGTAGAGCGTTTTAGGTGCCTGACCCCAGTGACAATGGGCGAATTCTTATCTAAGACCTGATTTGCAGAGATCCTTGATGACGGCCTGGCTGTTGTCGTTTTGATCGTGGAGTCCGAGCTGCGGTGTACGAACCTCCACTTAGCACATCTTAGAACGAACTAAAGCTCGTGTGCAGCAGCACTCTCAACTTCTTCGACTTGTGAATTCCTTTGTCGTTATGTGACTCTTCTTTGACACGGGTATCGTCCGCAGCTTTGTGCCCGTAGTCTGATGGTAGCGTAAAAGGCACAAAATTCTGCATTCCGCTTGTCCGTGCTACAACTTTTGTTGGTTCCTTCTGCCACACAGTGATTCGACTCCACTACTTCAAACATTGTCCGGAATGTCTCATCATCCTCGCTTGTCCACCAAGAATTTCCTCTGTGTGTTCTACCGCCGAGGGCATGAAATTGAGACCCCCCAAACCGGCCCCTTTCGCAGCCTTTCCATCCGAAGTCGCACATCGAGCTCTGTCGTGAAATGCCCAGGAGAGGCGGATTCGATGGCTTGAGCGAGAACTAGACGCGTCCATCGAGGCGGCCGCGCGCTCGCGGGAGGAGAAGCGCGCTGCGGAGGTGGCGCAGCGGGCTGCAGAGGCGCGGGTGAAGGAGTTCCTGGAGGAGCCGGAAAACACGACGAGTGAGTCGGATACCAAGGCGCTGATTTGATAATCTTGTGGCGTTTTCTTTTCAAAGAAGTACAGTTGTTGAGCTTCTGGTGTTCACTAAGCAAGAAACTACGTCTGGCGAGCTTATGATGTCCACAGAGCATGACACCACGTTCGATGAGCTTTTCTCCGTCGTGAACTACAGCTGTTAAGCTTATGGTATTTTCAAGATTCATACAAGTACATTGTTCAGCTGCAACAGTCGTACAGCGGATTCCACTTACCCAAACCGACCTCGTCTTCAGAGTGACGAGTATCCGTGACACAAGCTGGTGCAACAGTTACAAGAGCGGGCAGAATCGTCAGCCGAAGGGTTCTTGAAGCTGGATCTGGTTTGGCAGGGTGACGTTCTGCGCTTCTTAGTTGTGCGCTTCTTAGTTTCGAATCAGATTCTGCATCTGACTGAGAAGACCAAAGCTGATGCACTTGACCAGCTTCACACGCACCTGCGGGCAGCACAGTGCAGCATTTCTTAATTTGAGCCCCTCTTTGTCAATTTGTCATGCTTCTTCGATTGATGCATGCTTTGGGCAACAAACCGGATTAAGAGCAGATTCGTCATTTCAAAGTGAGACCGCGGTTAATGGGCATTCTGCATCGTGCGTTCCTTTGGGCCCTGATTAACTGGGCTTTTGAAAACAGAACCTTTTGAATCTGGCCCATGCTGCTTGGGTGGACGTAGTACGGCCGCCCTGATGGCGGACCACTGTAATTTCCGACTGAACCGGTAGATTTCAAAAATAAACACGCCGTTGACGTGGCTTTGGGTGCAGGGGTGTTCAAGCTCCACGCGGAAGACCTGCAGCTGAAGGAAGCGCAGCTGAAAAAGAAGGACGACGAGATTCGGGTGCTGCAGGTGATCATAAGCACCATGAGCAATTCTCCGAAACAGAAACAATCAAGAGTTGGCGTGCATCCGAATCTGTAAATGAAAACTGATATGCTCTGGGGGATGAGTGGTCCTTGTCAGCGGAATGTGCGATGTCGTCCGCGCGTTTTGCTGACGTGGCCCGTTGTAGAGATTCGCACGTTCATTGCGTGAAGCTCGCTCGTAATGATGGGAGGAAGCGGAGAGGAAGCGGTCTCCATGCTCTTAAACAATGTGAACATAGACGTACGTTTTGATCAATCAGCTTTGCAATATCTATGGGCGCCTCCCGATCAGCTGATTGTCAAACTTAAGCCTGAAGTGAAAGAGACTCCGTTCGCCAAGCGCACCAAGGAGCTAGAGAAAATGCAGTGCTCTAGCTGCTTCGAGCATACCCTATACTTTGGTTGCATGGTGGCCATGCTTCAGCTTCTTTTGCCACAATTCCTGCATGTGTGCAGCTATACAATTTACAAGGCCTAAGCCCTACTCAAGCTCGAAGCGACACTGAGTAGGCTTTCAAGTTCAAGTGGCGCTACGGTTTTTAATCACACTCAACCGTCAGTTACAGTATACCTATAAGTGGTACGATATATGAATGTTACACAACAGTACTAACCTATATGCATTCTAGCATAAACATCCGGACATTATACAGTGATGTTTCTACGTACATGGGCGCGTCACCGCAGTGTTATCAAAGTTGGTAGCATCAGCTTGTGAACTGCATTGCAAATTGCTGTGCGGGTCTAAAGCAGTGACGCAATTGCCCGGCCTAGCTACCGGTTCAGATCTTTGATGTTGTCGAGCTAGATCCTCAAATTGTCGCCCATGGTGCGCCCATGTCAGTGCGCATGTCGCGACACCAGCAACCTGCTACGCGATGACACCGAACTGTAGGATCACAAGCAGCCCCAACAGAAGCAGCATCATGGCACCTGCAAAAAAAAAAATATGCGGCGGGGGTCGAACGTTGACTGACAATATCATTCCTGCCGGTAGGTCGTTCAACTCATATGGGACTCATATATATCAATGATGCATCAGCGGGCCTGACAAGGACCTATGACTCATTCTAAGTTAATGTCAATGCATTGAAAGATCAAAAAGACATGTTTCTCGCCGGACCATGGCATATAGCCCCACGGGAGCCCCATGCTGAGGCAAAGACTGGGAATCAACCCCTTCCGACCAATCAACGATAAAAACATAAATCAACCTCAAAACGATCATGGCCAGTTCGCTTTTTCTCCTTAGATCAAGCATCTGCAAAGTATCAATGCCCACCGGCCTATAGGCAACCAAATCTTTCAAGGTAAGGCCTCAACCGTTATACTCGAATTGCTAAAGACTGGGCTTCTCTGGTCTGACAGAAAGCAGTGATCACCTGAAGTCCCGGCGCTAGCGCTGGACGGTGGCGGTACAAAGGCTGAAGTGGTTGCGGAAACACTTGCACCTGCAGAGACGTAAACGATTAAATCATTTTTGGAGCGAACATGGTTCCCACAATATCAACCGAGGACTCGCGTTGTATTAGCAGCGTCTGAGGCTCCACGTAAAACCGGCCTCTCTACCGAGCATATATTGGAATCATATCAGAATGTTGAGATTTCGACCGACTTACTCGGACTCCAACAATATAGCGTTTCTGTTTTCGTAGGAACTTAGATCACCTGAATTCCTGGGGCTCTGAGCGACGGAGGTCGGCGGGGCAAACGCTGGACTGGTTGCTGAAAGATTTGCACCTGCAGAATCCGACAAGACGATTAGCACTATGCTTGGAGCGTGCACAGTTCCCACAACTATCAATGCAACTGGGCACTTCCTGTTGTGTCAGCAGCATGTGGAGCTCCGTCAAGCCCCCTCTATCAACCATATATACACTGCCGTTTGAACGCAAAATGCTGAGGTTACAACCGCCCTTGCTCCTCAGACAGCTGTGACATGCTTCCATTCATGTCCCCTTCCGCTCTTTGCAAGTGACCTGCCAGCATCGTAAAGCTTGCATCATTAGTTGAAGGAAGAATGGTTGGTGTATGTGTACGGTTCAGAAGAGCATTCACAACGAACAATCTGCTGCCGTAATCACATACCAGCAGGCGTCGTGGGAGCTGTGGGGCCTGTGCCAAAAGATGTAGACAGGGCCGGTGACGGTGCCACTGGGGTTGGTAGTGGGGCCGTGAAATTAAAGCCCGTGAGGGTGTTCGCCAAAGACGGTCCAGCGGCTCTTGGAGCAGAAGGTGGTGAAGCTGGGGGAGCTAAGTTGAGAGTGGATGTAGGGGGGCTGGAAGGACGACTCGACGCTGTTGACGTTGGGGGAGATCTGGGACTTGACGCTATTGTTGAAGTTGGGGGGGATCTGGGGGGGGAAGAGGCCCCGCTGGAAGTTGGAGGGCCCGCTGCAGAGACATGACATGCGAGAGCTATGCCCGAGGGTTCCTTGCACCCGTTCTCGCAAATAAGTATATGTTGCTAGCAAGACAATCAAGTAGGACTGGGCATGCAAGTATCAAGCATCATGGGCCACCGATTGTTCTTTTCGTTTTGTGTGTGTAATTGAACAGAACCGAGTGAAGCACGCAGCTAAACATCCTAGTAGTCATTCCGACTACTATATCACCTACTCACAAAGTTGTAGTATTGAGCATCAGGCAGCTGGCAAACTTCCGCCCTTTAAATTTTCAAGACATTGTTTTGCTTGGACAGAATCAAAACTTACCAACTTCAGTATCCGAGTGTTACAACAATCGGTAAGACACGCTCAATGATCAGCACCACCTCAGTCAGATGCAAGTAGTCGGATACAGAAAAGAAAAACACTGCAGGCGAGTGGAATTTGCGCCAGACCGACAGGGTGTAACGTACACAATGTAGCTTGTAAGAGGGCCAAAAGAGTGCTCACTGCCGCAGGACCTGGCGTCCGCACTGCAGGTAGGATCAGAGCACACCATCCTTTGTTGCGCCGATGCGCTTGCCCTGCAAGACTGGGAGCACGATACTGTACCAAAGCCGCTTGTGGTGGAGGAGCAACCAGATGCACAGCTAGACAGTCTGTTGCTTATGTCGGTGATGGCCTGGCGGCATGCTTCTGCGGAACTGTATTGCGCCCAAACCTGAGCCACGCCATAGTGAATTGTCAGCACTGCAAAAGCTAGACGCAGAGAGAACATCGCTCTCTTGTGGACGGGCGCCATCACAGAAACTGCCATGGCAGACGTTGCCGAAAGTACGAGGAAGAGGAGGCCAGCAAGATTTAAGGACTTTGTATTTATATAGTGCCAGTCGGAGACTCAGAGGCTTTTGCTGTCTCCTGCACATTTGGTTTGGTACTCCGCTCTTCTTAGTTCTGCGTACCGTCATTCTCTTTGAGTGATTCTAAGCGGTCTTCCTTTGATAAGGCCAAATGCTAGATATGACTAGTACTCCACTATCACCACTAGCTAAGGACCAAGAAGACCCTCAGAACGTGATCATGATGAGGAACGAAGGAACTCCCTGGGAAACTCGGCAGTTCTCTCCGCAGTTCCTGGAGTGATCAGTGGCACGCACTTCTGCGGCGGCATGTTCAGTGACGTGCCGTGGCAGTCCAGCACCGCAGTCCTCCGGTTGCTCAGCCTAGTCAACCTCCCGACCAGCTGACAAAGTAGTACTAGTGATAAGATTTAACCTAGTCTCGAGTCCGAGAGGCTTACCGTGATTGGCTGAGCTACTGCTACCTTTAGTACGTATAACCGGTACATAGCTAGATACGGTATACCGGTATGCGTACAGGTGGCGTACAGTGGCCCAAACCCGGTACGTGGCCACTGGGCGCGGCTGGGGCCGGCTTGTTGCAAAGTGGCCCGTACGTACCACGTGGGTTGAAGCGGACAACCGGGAATTCCGTACCGATATTAATGCTACGTTACACAGTACCGTACAGTCGAGTACATGTGTGCACCGTGCGGCGCGCCGAGTTGTAAATGACAACATGCCGGCGTTCCGACTCGGGGAGTGCTCAGTGCTGCACAGGAGTCAATCCGACTCAGCAGCCTCGGAGTTTCCCACGGAGTCCCGTCCCGGCCTGCCAGGCCCCCCCGGTTAATTCGGCTTGGTACCTAGTCAGCATCTGGCCGGGCCCTGGGTCCGATCAGCATCCGGGCCCCGGCCGGCTGGGCCTACCTTGCTACCAAATTTCGATCAAGCAAGCTAGTGTTTAACGCCTGCCTTTTCTGCCGCGGCCACTTTTCCGGCCGGCCGGCATGGGTGATAAGCGTCGGCAGTGCTCGGCACCCGCCGGGGTCCCTTCAAACTCGGTTCAAGTTGTCGGCCCATACCATGATACTACCGTACCTATACTGGTGTCCTCAACTTGAGAGGTGACCGGGTGGTGACCGGGCCCGGGGGCACGCCCCCGGGTGAGCAGTAAAGAGTAGCAATTGCTAGTGAGCCGCCTGCACTGAGCAGTGAGCACCATGGTTTCCCACGGCCGGGCCGGTAAGAGCTGAGAACTCATCCAAGTCCGCAGTACCGGTACTGCGTACACGTACTTCCGTACGGTCGAGGCCCCAAAATGCGGGGCGAACCACTGACCGGACTCACCGGTGACCGGAGTCGATGTCAGACATCGACAACAGGAAGCCCGCTTTCGCCACCTGGCACCCAGGCCGCAAAAGCTGCAAGCCCGGTTGGAAATCACCGTCGCGAAGTTGCAGTCTGCCAGTGCAGCGGCAGACGTACAGCGTCACAACAGCTTCAGATCGAGGAGACGGGGAGATTTGCGTGGCTACTAGATAGATTCCGAGGGGCTGCTCTACTACTGGGTAGGTAGGTCTCCGACAAAGCATTTGAAGCATTGGGAGCAGAGCTGACGTTATAGCCATATTAGGCTGAAGACGTCTGAGACGGAAAGGGATCATGAGATCATGTCTTTGGGTCAAGAGCACTAACAATCTGGTTGCGGAGCTTGAAGGTGTCTGAGATTTCATGCACGCTGTGAGAAAATGAGAAAGCCTTTGTCCGAATCCGGTCCGCCGAGCTGGAGGCGCAGAAGGTCAGACCGGGCTCGGACCAAGGCCGGACTGATTCGGACATGATTCGAACAGAATTCGGACTGGGTTTCGAAGCATGCGGGACCTGCAAAGCCCTGCTTGGACCGACAGGGTTCGGACGAAATTGCAACAAAGGTCGGACCTGAGCCGGAACGGAAAAGTCGTCCGAATAGGGATTTTTCCAACATGCATGTGCCGGACATTCTCTGCTGTCTGCAGGGGCTGTCCAAACGAGGTCCCATGCATGTCAAATGAATAGACACTGGACGGCACAGCCAATACTCCTTCCTGGGCTATACCGCGCTGCTGGTATAGGTCAATCGTGGTTAACCGTGAAAGAAGTTGCGTCTGCTGCAACAAGTTCGATGTGCTGGGGAGCATTCATCTTGGCAGCTGAATGGCGAGAAAGGAGCTTCGGCAAAGTGGATTGATAAATGCCTTTGCCCAAGATTTGCAGGGTGCTTCTTGAGTTCAGTTTCTCTGCTTAGGGTGACATTGAGCGGCCCTGGCGCACCGACACCCCAAAAGGAACCAGCGTTTCATCTAGCACTTCGACCCCTTCCAGCACTGACAGCCCCTCAAGAACGAACAACGGATACCCCGTCTAGCACTTCCACCCCCTCAGAAACAAACACCCCCTCGGCAACGATTATCCCCTCTGGCACCGGCACCCCCTCTAGCACTTCGACCCCTTCGGGCACTTCGACCCCCTCGGGCACGAACACCCCTTCAGGAACCAACACCCCCTCAGGCACTTCCACCCCCTCGGGAACCAGCGCTCCCTCCGGCACAACCGCCCCCCCCGCCAAGACCACAGCCCCCCCGGTCAAGACCACGGCCCCCACCCCCCAGACCACCAAGAACGGCCCCATCGGGAGCCCCCCCGACTTCGGCTCCCCCGCCGGCGAGCCCACCAACTCAACCCTCGCGCCGGTCCCTACCAAAACCCTGACCGGCACCCACACCCCGACCGCGACCCCCAAGGCAACTACGGTACCGAGCGCAACCACCAAGCCTGGTTCCAACACCCCGGGATCTGCCACCCCCGCTCCCAGCGCCACTAACTCCCCAATAGCGACCCCCGTTTCGACCACCCCCGGCGCAACCCCGGTCACAGTCCCGACCGTTACGATGGCCACCAGGCCCCCGGTTCAGACCCCCGGGCCGACGACTCCGTGCGCCAACGTCGCCCCTGGTGCCACCCCCGTCCCGACCACTCCCGGCGGTACACCGGTCACGGCTCCCACCGTCACAATGGCAACGAATCCCCCGGTTCAGACCCCTGGCCGGCCCAACACCCCGACCGGAACGAACACCCGACCGGAACGAACACCCCGAGCGGAACTAACACCCCCACCACCCCCGGTGCTCCTCAGCCGGCGCCCACCCCCCAGGCGGCTTTCCACGGAACGCCCAGCGGAAACGGGTCGACCCCGGGGACCCACGTGCCGCCGAGCGACGGACGCCCCGAGCCCTGCACGTCTGGGAACGGCACGAGCTCCTCAGCCAAGGGCGATCGTGAGTTGAATCAGCCTGTTTTACTGACCGTTGAGAGGTTTTGAGGTGGGATTGGAAGCTAGGGACCTCTGCTTTTTGCATACGAGAGAGCGTGCAGAGTTCGAATTCTGCAGGGATTGTTTCCGATTAAGGTTTGCAGGAAAGGGTTCTTCTGCACTTCTTCGTCGAGTTACTTGCGATGTCAAAGAAACGCTTTCCGGACCACACGACAAAGCAAGCTCTCACGGAAGGTCAACAAAAGACCTTTTGAGGTTCAGCAGTCTCGCCAAGTCTGGTACAAAACCGAACATCTGACTGACGACTCTCTTCGAATCGTGCAGCTCACTTCGTCGGCAAGCACGGCGAGAAGTTCGATTTCAACGGCGAGCCCGGCCAGTCGTACTGCCTGATCGCCGACAAGAAGATCCACATCAACATGCACGTCTTCGGCGGCAGGAGAGAGGGCACCACGGTTAGTGCTTACCCGCTTTCCTAGCCGCCACTCGTACTGGCACAGGTTTGAGAGTTAGCATTGATAATGTCTAGGAAGATTGCTCGACATTTGCTATCGCTTTCCACAGGATGACACCGTTGCATCATCTCTGGAACTTAAGACTCTCTGCCCAAACCGCGTTCTCAGATCCGAAAGGGAAATTCTCCCGAGAGTTCCATCAATCGCCCTCATCCTCATCTTTCTATCAGAACACGAACCAACACAGCCCGTTCTCGAAACTCGCCAAAAGACCTTACAGCACTCACCTGAACCCCAGCTAACCCTTCCTTAACCCTCCCCGCAGTACATCGACGAAGTCGGCATCCTGTACAAGGACACCGAAATCTACGTCGCTGCCAAGTCCGCTGAGGGAACCAAGTGGCGCGACTTCCAGGGCGATGTTTCCGTCAACGGAATTGAGCTCCCCGCTTCCGATGTCGACATGACCGTCGAGAATGTCGCCATCTCCCGCAACAGGACGTCGGTGCGCGTGACCGCCCCCGGCTGGTTCGACATCACGATGGACATCACGCGCGCGAGCTTCTGGCAGAACGGCCCCGGAGCAAACTTCGTAAGTTGACGCCCTACTTCTCTTCAGCTGTCTTGGAGTCCGTACTTAGCAACGGTCCTGTGTCTCTTTCCCTATCTTTGTAAACAATTTTTCATTGAGGGGAGTGCTAGAAGACAGATAACTTCATGTTGGCTCAAGAAATTGAATCCAAAGAGTTAAGAATATCCTGAGCGAGCTTGTTTGTTTTCTCTGACTAGGGCTTTGTAAAAGGTCTGCTTATACTCCTCAAACGAGCACAAACGTTTTCCCTCAGAACCTCACCTCTTTTCACAACCCCAGCTTCGAGATCCAAAATCCCGTGACAGAGTCCTGAAAGAGACTCTCGATTCCTGGAACCCTCAAATAATCACTCACCCGCTCTTCTTTTACCCCCCCGCAGGTCAACTTCAAGGTCTCCCAGCTGCGCGTGACCCCCACCGTGCACGGGGTGCTCGGACAGACCTACCGCGAGAGCGACGCACGTACAAGAAGATGGCGCGCGCCGAGGTGTCAGCCGTGTCCGGCAACGGCCTCCCGGCATTCATGGACGGGTCCGAGGAGGACTACGAAACGAGCGGGATCATGAAGCGCGGACTGCAAGTTCGGCAAGTTCCAGATGGTCAGCCAGGTGGAGAAGAAGACCAACAGTTCGGGGGGGAGGAGACTGCTGGCGGCCGAGGGGGAGGATAAGATGGTCGTCGATGCCGGCTGCGTTGGATTTGGGAACGAGGTGCGGTGCGAGTAAGGGTTTAGCCGCTGGTTAACTTTTGACCGCATCATGGAAAGATGGACAAGAGAGAGACAATGCAGATAGAGAAGTTGAGAGCTATAGGGTAACATCAAACCCATCCTAGAAATGGGTGAGAGCCTACGGACTAGGGAGACAGAGCGATCTCCCAGGTAAACTGTTACTGGATTGATTACAGCACGGTCTGGTGATAGGCAGCATACAGGAAACACCGTTGCATAGGACACGTATTTATCTTAGGAGCATAAGGCTCAAAGTGCGGAGGCGTCAGTGAACAGATCGGTCACAGGGGCGGCAGCGTTTGCAACTAGCAAGCAGCTGAGAACTCCGCAGGCTTAGTAGAATTTTTAACACTACTGCCCACGTAGGAGCTAACCAGCAGACAGACAACCCGACATTCGCTTTTCATAACACAATATGAACACTTGGAACTTCTGGCTTCAGAAGCATCTAAAAGTTTGTGAACCACACGAGCAGTTGAACATTTGAACGAGGGAATCAACGCTCAATTCAGAGTTTTATCTGTGAACAAGCCCCTATGCAACCTTCATTGTCTCTGCAAATGACGAATCGGTCATAGATGGAAGTTCCTTAGCCACATTGTGGCATTCGCTAGCACATGCATTGCTTACCTTGATGATAGAATGAGTACTTGGTTCACTGGTCTCCAGAAAGCTGTTTCTGCTGTGAAGCAAGCGGCTGATCGATCACGTGTCGAGCCCACTGAATGGTGCCTCCCCATGTTACGATTCCTTGAGGCTGCACATGCAAGACTCCAGATGGTGCCACTGCCGTTCGTGCATAGCCATCTGAGCCACACGGTTGCAGATGAAAATTTGCAGCTTGATAGCGGTAACTTCGAGTAGAACAAGGTGTCTGACCAGCCCAGAGAGCAGGAGCAGCTTGTAGCATTCCCCGTGGATGCATTGCAGCTGGAAGAGGGTTGCTGCAAGCTTGCACGTTCTGCTGATCAGCGAAGTTTTGAGCACTTGCATAAAAGCTAGGGTAGCAGACGCTAGAGCCTATGCATGGCTTCTCGGATTGGTCTGCAATGTACCTGAGAGTTGCAATACCGATTTTCCTTGCAGTTGGCTTCGTACGTATTGTTTTAACGGCAAAACGGTTATTGACAAATGGCAAAGTCGGTGAAACTGGACCTTTAAATTTTCGATCGTACGGGTTCGAGTCCTCGAGACAAGGAACCGGCAGTCAACCGTCACCCTGGACTTTGAAGCCAATTTGCAGTATTCAGCTGGCAGTGGCCTGAGTGGGAGGGCAGCAGGGCAGCAGCTCAGAGTGAGAGCTCCATGGTGGAACTTTCATCAAAGCGCGGAAACACGAGACAAAAGAGCGCTCAACCTCTCGCACACAGATCCACCAACTCTTACTTGTAGAGGATGTCTTGAATTATGCCTGTTCATCAAGCTTGCCAGTTTGATATCTATTGGTAGCCAGACAAGGGCCATGAGCTAGCTTGCGCGCCCATCCTCACCCGACACCAAATAGACCCGTGACGCTTCTCATGCTTGAACTGGCCCTCTCTTGAAGTGACCGTCAGCTTGTTGTGTACCGTGCTCAATCTCCATCCCGGGAGCTATTCTGGAGACTGCATTTGATGCCCTAGCCCGCCCTTCGTCACCAGCCGCAAAGTCCTGGTCCCAGTTTCTTTGGGGGCAGCTGGGAGGGCAGTTTGCAACAGTATCCTCCTTAAGCTAGCTGTAAAGCCGCTTTCTTGATCTGTCGTGCTGTTGTCAAGTGATTGTACGATGGCTGCCCCCTGCCGCAGCAGCAGCACAGCTGCGGACGCCGCCCGAGCTGACCCAGGAAGAAAGGTGACTTGCGCAGAAGAAATACTTTGTTTTGGGGAAGTTTATTGCTGTCTATTGCTGCCCGCTCAGACGACACTATGGAATCAGGCTGCAAATTGAGTGCAGGGTGATATTTTACCTGTGATCTCATCGGGGGCTTTATTTGAGCTGACTGACCTAAATATCACCTGCACGATGAATCCTGACGCTCCGAAACAATTAGCATGAAGCAGAACAAGAAAGTATCCCCCTCTGCAATTGGAGCCCTTCTCAGTCTTTTTTGCGACTTTTTATGGTCCCGTTTATGCAGGCTTACCCCGATTGCCAGCCACTGGCAGTGCTGACGGACAGAATAAACAGTAAGAAACAAGATTCCATTCTGGAACACAGTCTTTGAGACCAGCTAACAGGATTGCCATCCACATTCCTTCCGCATCTCTGCAGTTCCTCTACGCCCCCCCCCCAGCCGACCCCGCCTCGCGCCCCCCCCGCTCCACCTCCCTCACTGATTTCAAAGACGAGCGACCCGAGAAGAGGACCTTGCGAGGGGCTTCTAGCGCAACTGCGAGCTTAGTCGGCAGCACTCTGGATGAGCGGGCGGGGCCTTCCGGGTCGGGGGATCAGAGATGGGCGGCGTCGCTGCAGAACCTAGAGGATATGGGGACGACGCTTGAGAGTTTCCAGAAGGCGCTGCTGAGCAATGCGGTGTACTTAGATGAGGAGGCGTATGGGAAGGCGGTCAAAGTGGCGGGGCATGGGCGGGCGGTCAAGGTGAGGGGCTGAGAATCAATCAGTCCGACTTCTTCTTTCGCTTTTGCTTCAAGCCCCAACTAACTTATTGTTTGGTGATGGATTTTTGTCGGATTCCTGGTCCGAGGTTTTGCTTCTTTTGTTTGTTTTCTTATTCTATATCTGCTCTCCTGCTTTCCTCTTTCAGAAGGTTCCCCTGCTCTTCTCGAGTTCCTGTTCTCCTTCGATGAGGCCTCGTTCCAACCACCTTTGACACGAGGGAAAGGGATTCTTGTCTACTGTAGACTGCTTTGTGACTGAGAAGAAGGGATACTGCAAGGACCTTGAAAACCACTTGACAAAGTCCACTCACTGAATGGATCCCAACCCTTGTCCCCAACTGTCCAGCCCAACCTCGTGTCTGTCCTAACCTAAACTCAGACTTCTCTTTCTTAGAGCGTTTCAGGTAACCGACTTCCGTACAGAGAGCGGGTTCTCTTCTTTGATGTGCTCTATAGCAACCCGATGCTTCTTAATAACATCCTGGCTGTCGTCGATAATACTTACTACTAAAACACGTCAATTCAGAGCTGCGGTTCCAAAGCCCCACTCATCTCCACTCTCTAACGAATGGAAGCTCGTTTGCAGTAACACTCTCAACTCCCTCGACCAGAGATTCTCTTGGTTTTCCAGCGTCTGTTCTGATAGGCTTGAAGAGTCGCTTCCGAGCTTTGTGTCTTCTGTTCAAAGATGTTTTTTGTGAAGAAACGTACCTTTTGCTCCGCCTGCCCCTGTTAAGACATGCGTTGGTTCGCCCTTCTGCCACACAACGTTCCGACTCCGCCACACCGAACATTGAACGGAAAGCTAGTCATCCTCGCTTCTCCTCCAGACGCCCTCACTATCTTTTCACCGCCTAGCCATTGATCCGAGATTACAAAAGGGTCACTTTTCGGATGCATCCGTCTGAGATCGTTCACATCGAACATTTTCGTGCAGGCCCAGGAACGGCGGATCCGAGGCCTCGAACGAGAACTAGACGCGTCCATTTTAGCGGCCGCGCGCTCGCGCGAGGAAAAACGCGCCGCGGAGGTGGCGCAGCGGGTTGCGGAGGCGCGGGTGAAGGAGGTCCTAGAAGAGCTGGAAAATACGACGAGTGAGTCGGAGGCCGGTGTTGATCGAATTAGGGGTTGTTGAGCTTACTCTGTCACCTAATCTGGAAGCTGCGGTGTTCGGCTGCCACGTTCGTACAGTGGTGCCCATTCTTTGAAAGCAGGCTCGACGAGTATTTGGCACACAATCTGTTGCAACTAACACAGAAGCGGGCGGCAATCGTCAGTAGAAGGGTTCTGGAAGCTGGGTTCGGATTGGCAGGGGGATTTTCTGCGCTTCTTAGTTGTGGGCTTCTTAGTTTCAAGACAGGTTCTGGGTCTAACTGACAAGACCAGATCTGATGTACTCGACCGGCTTCACAAGACTTGCGGAAAAGCACAGTTTGGCGTTTCTTCCGTTGATGCTCTTTCCTTGTTGTTCTGACATGCTTTTTGGCCTAATAACGGTTGATGCAGCTTTACGTACCCAATCGATTTCAGAGCGGAAGTCAGCCACTCAGGGCGAGACAGCGCATACAGGGCATTCTGCATCGTGAAATTTCTCTGGGCCCTGATCAAATTGGGCTTACGAAGACGGACTCCTAATGTTGTAGTCTTTTAAAGTGGCCCATGCCACTTGATTGGACGTATTGCGGCCGCCCTGATGGCGGACTACTGTGTTCTCGACTGGATATACAAGCTTCAGGAATCAAGACGCCGTTGTTATCGCTTTGCTTGCAGGAGTGTTCAAGCTCCACGCGGAAGAACTGCAGCTGAAGGAGGCGCAGCTGAAGAAGAAGGACGAGGAAATTCAGGTGTTGCAGGCGATCATAAGCACCATGAGCAATCCTCCGAAACGGAAACAATCAAGTTGACGTGCATGCGAATCCTTAATTGAAAAGCAGCGATGCCTTAGCGAAAGATTGGTCGTCTGCGCGTTATGTCGATGTGGCCCGTCAAAACGGATTGCAGGAAGCTCCCTTGTTTCATTGTATTGAATATAGGAATAATTGTCCTCATGCACGTATATCCGACGGTCGGACATATAGAATGGATTGGAAGTATGGCTGTCACGGTACATACGATTATAATCCAGTACACAATGTACTCGCTTTGGAACTGCATCGAAGCTCTAGCTATTGTCGCTAGACACGTTAAGTCAAAAGTGTCGGGCCCGGCCCCGTTAATGATGTTGTTGACTCGACTGGCCAAAGTCGCTTGGAATATCAGCAATCTGCTATATGCAATTGACACCGAACAGTAGGATCACAACCAGGCCCAAAGGAAGCAGCATCATTGCACCTGCATGCAAAATCCAGGCCGGAATCAGCAGGTTTTCGAGCATCAAGTCCTGCCGGTAGTTCGTTCAACCTGTATAGACTGCATTGACAGATCAGCCTGACCAGCACCAACGACATTCCTCAATGCTTCAATGTTCCTACTGGTAATTCAGAGATACCTACACAAAGATATGATTGCCGGACCATGGCCTAGCCCGGGCCACCAAATGAGAAATAGTCCCCCAGTCGAACAATTGATAGAAAGGAGTGGACCTCAAACATCGTGGCCAGTCCGCTTAATTCCTCCCTTGATGAACTAAGCATACAATGTGTAGATAATCACTGCCGACCGGCCTATAGGCGACAAGAATCCAAGGCATCAACCGACCGTCTCACACGGACTCCAGAAAACTGTTTTCCATGGTCTGAAACAAATGATCACCTGAGGTCCCGGGGCTTGCACTGGACGTTGGCGGTACGTTGAATGCTGGATTGCCCGCAGCAACATTTGCGCCTGCAGGATCATAAGAGGAAAGCACTATGCATGGAGTGATGCACATTTCGCACAACTATCAGCCTGGACAGCTATCTCAATCTGCATCGGCAATCTCCTACGCAATAATACCAAATTTTGCAATTCACAACGCAGAGTTCACAACGGAAATGGCATCATCAAACATTTCTGTGCAAATCTTGCCGGGAGGTCGTTTGACTGTATAGGTCATCAAGAATTCAGCCTGACGAGGACTAATGAGATTCTCCGATGCCTGTCACATGAGTAGATTAGAAAATCTACTACTTCTCGTTAGACCAGTAGCCCCACTAGGCCACTAATAACAAGAATCAACACCTCATAGACTCGATCACACTAACGAACGATGGAAGACTCGACCTCAATAATGGCTAGTCCACTTCTCTGCCTTTCTTAGCACATGTGTAAACATTGCAGTGCCCACCGGCCCATAGGCAACAATATTCTCATATTAACCTGGCCGGCATCAAGCGAATTACTCGGAGTCCAAGAAACTATCTTTTCTGGGAGTCAAAGGAACTTTAATCACCTGAATTCACGGGGCTAGCGCTGGCTGCAGTTGAGGTTGGCTGTGCAAACGGTGGACTGGTTGCTGGAACATTTGCGCCTGCAGGATCATGAGACGATAAATACTACGCATGCCAGAGCGTGCAGAGTTCCCCAAACTAGAAACCGGGCACTTTGATTCTTCTTGACTGAGCGGTATGCGGCGCTCCGCAAGCCCCCTCTTTCAGCCACATATTCGAAGACAGATTGTTGGGGCTACAACCGGCTCACTCGGACTCCAAGAAGGCTGTATTTTCTACGGTGAAAGGACCTTAATTCACCTGGAAGCCCGGGGCTTGCGATGGAAGTGATCGGCGGTACTGCAAATGCTGGACTGGGTGGTGGTACAGTTGCACCTGCAAGTACAAATAATGTAAAAGACGATAAGCACTATGCATAGAGTGTGCACAGTTCCCCGAACTGTCAATCAGGCACTTGATTCTTGTTGTCTTAGCTGCATTGGGAGCTCAGTAAAGCCCCCTCCTATCAACCATACATTAATCTGACAATAAAATGTTGCGATTACGACAGCCATTGCCTTTAGATAGCTGTGACATTGTTTTCTTTAACGTCTTCGTCGGCTTTTTGCAAGTTGCTGCCATCCTTGAGTAAAGGACGCTTGGTCATTGTACACGCTTCGGAAGGGGTTCCACAAAAGGAAGTCTGCCCCAAGAGAGGCAGCATACCAGATGTTGTGGGAGGCGTGCTCGTGCCAAAAACTCTAGACGGGGCCGGTGACGGTGCCACTGGGCCTGGTCGTGGGGCCGTGAAAGTGAAGCCGGTCGGGGTGTTCGAAGCTGAAGGTCCAGCGGCTCTTGGAACTGAAGGCGGTACTGCTGTCGAAGGTGGGGAAGCTCTGAAAGGGGACGAAGGTGGGCTGGAAGGACGATTCGACGTTGTCGAAGTTGGGGGAGATCTGGGAGGGGAAGAAAACTCGCTGGAAGTAGGAGGGCCGAAACCTGCAGAGACAGAACATGACAGACCTATGTCCGGAGGCTTCTTACACCTGTCCACACGGATGGGTTTTCTTCCCAGCGAGACAATCAACTAGGACTGAGTACCAAGTATCAAGCATCATGAGAACCAGGTAAGGCTTTTTCTGGGGTATCAACAAAGCTCAAGCAGATAAAGGATTCGGATGACTAGATGTACCCATCCCGGCCATTGTAACTCATCACAAACTGCATGTTCTGCATCAAGCCTTGGGGGAACTTCTACCCTCTTCATTCTCAAGACGTTGTTCATCCTGGACAGGCGATGAAATCCACCACTCCAATATGCCAATGTTACATCAACAATGTTCTGAGACACCAAGACATTCTGGATAAAAAGATATTCTGGATTAATATTTAGCACCAATCAGTCAAAGGGCAAGTAGTTGATTCAATCAAAAGAAGTGACAGCAACCAACACAAACTGTGGTTGAAGTCTGCGCCTCCACGACAATCAGACAATCAGACAATCAGGTACAATGTGTGTAAGAGGGGACAATAAATTGCTTACGGCCGCAAGCTCTGGCGTCTGCTCTGCATATAGGATCAGAGCACACAATCAGTTCTTGCTCCAATGCCCTGTCTCCGCAAGACGAGGAGCAAAAGAAGCTTGTGCCGCTGCCGCAACTAGACAGACACCTCGAGAAAGCGTC